GTGGTACGAAACTAAGCAATGACTAAAATTGTACTTGCTTTTCTTAAAAAGGGTACTGTACGACTTTATGAAACTAATACAACCTCTGCACTACTTCCTTAAGCCATAGGAGCTTGGGAAGAAAGCTTGAATGAAGAAGTTAGTAAAATCAAGCACTTTTCAAAGATGAATGGCATATTAAACCGCTATAGGAAAATATGCGGGAGAATTTTGATATAAGTGGCAGAAAGAACGGCTCGACTTATTACCTTCATTATGAATGGATTAGTTATTGAGCTCGAGCCTCTAAAGTACTTGGAATCTTCACAGTCATCACCAAAGTGTTTTACGTTTTGTTAAAGTTTATACTCTGGTTAAAGCCATTCTCTATTTTCGTCGTGTCTATCATTTCTACAAGCTTGTGGCATACTTAAGGTACATCGCTAAATACAAAAATAAATAATTTCAGAATGCACAGATCAAAAAATGGCTGTAGAGGTTTCCTTCTTGTTAATGTTTCGATTAACATGATCATCTTACATCTTTTAAATCGCCTTTAAAATATTGCGAAAAGCTCGTAATTCTTCTCAAACACCCGAAATTTGATGAGCTTACCCCTCCTATAAAATGCACTTGCACTGCCTCATAATTCTCCCCAGATCTCAGTTGATGTCCACAAAATCCTCTAATAAAACTTAATTGCCTCAGTCCCTGCTCGTCTCATTCCAATGGCGATGAGGTCATTCCGCGGTGTTCTCCCTATGTCGATTGGTGTCCATGGCGACCTTTGTTGATTCAAGGTAATTCACTCATATGCTCTCTGACATAGTCTCTGATATCCGGTGACATGCTCTCGACATATTGAACACGGAACACACAACATCTTCCCGCAATGAATTTAGAGCATAGCTCTTGGATCCCTGAGCGCTATGGCATACTGTGCTGGAGTCCTCCATTCGGCTCAAGGATCATCGGTAAGAGTAGCCACATCGCGTTAATCCGTCAATCGACGCAGGTCAAGTGTATCACGTCCGGAGGCAAACTGGGCGACAAAACAAACATCAAACCCAAATATGGGCTTAGTTTTTGGGGTTTATCCTAAGCGGTTAACAGCTTGGGTATGGCTGAAAGGCTAAAAACGAACTTATACTATATAAAAAAAGAGAGGTTGGAGATTAGCAAGATTTAGACATAATAATTAATACTTTTGAAAAGAGGTTTCACCATTGAAATTACATAAA